TTCCTGCTCATCCTGGCGTGCTTGGCGGCCCTCGCTGTTCGGGTCGCCCTCGCATGCCTCTTGCCGCCTCCCATATCTCCGCCGAGGTACGCTGTCTGGCCCACGGCATTGATGTGGCGCCCCTTCACGCGCAGCCTTCGTGCAATGGTCCTGGCGTCGCACACACGAGCACAGAGGACCGCGCTCTTCGGGGAGACTTGTAGGCCTGCAGCCTGGATGGCCTCGCACGTGTCGGACAAGCACTGGACCATATTAGCGATCATAACCTTCCGAGATGCACGGTAGCCCTGGCTCAGGTCATCGATCCACAGCCTGTGAGACATGTCCACGTGCATTGTCGTAATCCTCGCCATGATGTGATGCGTAACACACTTGGCGAAGCGCGTCCCAGCCGAGGCCTTGGACGATCGACCTCGTGGGGTCGAAGGGTGCTGAGTGCGCTCCAGACTGGCGCACGCAGCGCGACGCCATGCACTGCAGCAACTCCAGTCCCAAGATCTCGGCTGGGAAGTCCAGCCGCAGCGCGGTCTGGCCTAACAACATCCACCCGATCGTGTCGTAGAAACTGGCGAGGTCGATGGGGCCATGCCCATACTCAGTGGACAATCGCACCGCCAGCTCCTCGTCGATCGCGCGCAAGAAGGCCTCGCGGACCGCCGGGTTGCCGCGGATGGCGGCATCCCAGTGCGCCTCGCACTGGTCCGTCCATGTGCGAACATGCCGCTCGCGAGCTGCTGTCCAAAGCCGTGCAACGTGAGGTAACAAACCCATCGCACGGTCCCCTTTGTGCTTCTTCGGGGGCAACGTCCCTATAGTCAGCAGGAGCTGATGTGGCCGGACTTGCCTCGCTTCACATACATTGAGTAGTGCAGCCAACTCATCTAGAGCTGGGTCTGGCAGACGTGACGTGCCCAGAGGTGCCAGACTGTCCACCCCCATAGCACCACACTTCATATGATCGGACGCTTCCCTCAGGATAGCACCGTCAAGGGGTGGAAGCGCCTCGTCTGAAACTCGCTGTCGGATCTCGTGGAAAAGACCAGGCACTTCGCTCAACGGCTGACCTGGTGGTCCCCACAGTGAAACCCAGTGTTCCCTTTTATGATCCATAGTATCTTTGGGGTGTACAATTGATGTTCCATTCACTTCCAAGGTATCGCTGACAAGAGGTTGCTCTCTGATAGCCCTGTGGAGGGCACTCACAGCGGGGACTGTCTCAGCCCACGTGCGGAACTCAGGAGCCAGGAGGAGGAGGAGGAGGAGGAGGAGGAGGAGGATGCGGAGGCGGAGGGTGCGGATGATAATGAGGAGGAGGGGGCGGATGATGATGATGAGGAGGAGGTGGATATGATAATGACGATGACGATGATGATGATGACGACGATGATGATGATGATGATGATGATGATGATGGTGGTGGTGGTGATGATGTTGATGATGCTGCTGATGATGATTGTGATGATGATGATTGTGATGGTGATCGTGATGGTGATGATGATGATCATGCTGCTGATGATGATGGTGATGCTGATAATGATGGTGATGATGATGATGGTGATGGTGATGACGATGGTGGTGGTGGTGATGATGTTGGTGATGATGTTGGTGATGGCGATTGATGATAATGATGACGATGATGCTGATGCTGCCGCTGATACAGATTATGATGATGATGACGATTATGGAAATAATGATGATGAAGTTGATGATGATGATGTTGATGATGTTGATGTTGATGAGGATGATGCTGCTGCTGATGATGATGATGCTTATGCTGATGCTGCTGCTAATAAAGGTTAGGATGATGATGACGATTATGGAAATAATGATGATGATGTTGATGATGCTGGTGATTATGATGATGATGACGATTGATGATGATGACTATGATGATGATGATGCTTATGCTGATGATGCCGCTGATACAGATTATGATGATGATGACGATTATGGAAATAATGATGATGATGTTGATGATGATGATGATGTTGATGATGTTGCTTTTGATGATGATGATGCTGCTGATGATGATGATGATTGTGATGGTGGTGGTGATAGAGATGGTGATGATGATGATCATGCTGCTGATGATGATGGTGATGATGATAATGATGGTGGTGATGATGATGATGATGGTGATGGTGATGACGATGGTGGTGGTGGTGATGATGTTGGTGATGATGTTGAGGAGGAGGATAATGATGACGATGCTGGTGATGATGATGGTGATTATGATGATGATGGCGATTAATGATGATGATGATGACGATGATGATGATGATGATGATGATGCTTATGCTGATGCTGCTGCTAATAAAGGTTATGATGATGCTGATGATGGTGACGATTATGGAAATAATGATGATGATGATGTTGATGATGATGATGTTGATGATGTTGCTGTTTATGATGATGATGCTGATGATGATGATGGTGATGGTGGTGGTGATGGTTATGATGATGTTGATGACGACGATGACGATGAGGAGGAGGAGGATCAGGGGGAGGAGGAGCAGAATGAGGAGGAGAAGGAGGATGAGAGAAGGAAGAAGAGGACGACAAGGTGGAAGAGGACAAGGCGAGGAGGACAACAAGGACGACGGGGCCGAAGCAGTTGAGGTGACGGCCGAGAGGGGCTCGACGTACTTGGTTCTCGAAGGCCTCTACGGAGCCACGCTTGGTCTACGCGGCGGGCCCCAAATGGCGGGCGGTCGTGTTACATGTTCGGTCGGAGTTCCGGGGCGTTTCGAGTCTCTGGCTTCTCTGCCCCTCACGCTCGCCCTTTTCCTCTTTGGACGCCGGCGACGACGAGAGGGCTGCGGGGAAGCGCCTCCCGCGCGCGCGCGCGCCGCGCGCGCGCGACGTCGGCGGCCACAGGAGGTGTCGCACCTCACCGAGGAGGTGAGGCGGAAGTACCGGGCGACCGGGCCCTGGGCGGCTGCTCGCGGCCCTCCCTCGCCGTCCCGGCCTCGCGCGCCCCCGGATCTCCGGCGATGGGCGCTCTCGTCAGCCCAGGCCTCGGGCGCCTGGAGGAAAGTCGAGACGGAGGTGTTCCGTAGTTCTCGGCCTCTCGGGGCCCTCGCCGGGCCTCGGGGCCGCCAAAAAACGGCTCGGGATGAAAAGCCGGTCCCGGGGAAGTGGTCGGGAGGTCGGGGGCCCGCGCCTCGAAAAGGTCGAGACGTCGGATGTCTGGGTTCTTCGACTCCAGGATCCATCCCGCCGCTTGGCCGTTCCATCCGACAGTGTACTTCGTCCAGTGCGCCGCCCCGGGAGGTCCCGACCCCTTCCCCTGGGGGCGGCTCTGAAGATAATGAGAACAAGCTCTTATTAGTTTGCTTATTCTGATGCTTGTTATTAATAGTGTTATTAGTACTCAGATTATGATTCGCATTCTCATTATCATCATTATTATTGTTCTACATATTATTGTTATTATTCGTAGTTCTCTCTTATTCTTATTCTTCTTATTCTAATTCCAATTGGGATACCACCCCAGCCAGGGCGCGGGAATGATTTATTCTCGTTCCATTTGCGCGGTGCTAGTCATATCGTTCGGCGAAAGCCGCCCCCCAGAATTATTTGATTACGGTGCGGTGCTAATGATAGTCCCAGGGGGATCCTTAATTGCTTGATGAGGTCGCCTGGTCGTCCTCGTCTTCGACGTCGTCGTCTTCGTCCTCGTCGTCCTCGTCGTCGTCCTCCTCCTCCTCGCTCGCTCGCTGGCGCCAAAGGGCCGATAGGCTCGCAGCCCATGCTTGAAGGGATGAGAGAAATCTTCGCCTCCTCGTCCTCCTCCTCCTCCTCCTTCCTCCCGCCTCCTCCTCCTCCTACATCCTCCTCTCCGCCCCCTCCCTCCTCCTCCTCCTCCTCCTCCTCCTCCTCCTCCTCCTCCTCCCTCCTCCCCCTCCTCTTCCTTTTCCTCTCCTCCTCCTCCTCCTGCCCTCCTCCTCCTCCTCCTCCCTCCTCCTCCTCCCTCCGCCTTCTCTCCTCTCCTCCTCCTCCTCTCCTTTCCTCCTCTCCTCCTCTCTTCCTTTGCCTCCTCCTCCCCTCCTACTCCTCCCCTCCTCCTCCTCCATCCTCTCCCCTCCTCTTCCTTTTCCTCCTCCGCCTCTCCTCCCTCCTCCTCCTCCTCCTCCTCCTCCTCCCTCCTCCTCCTCCTCTCTCCTCCTCCTCCCCTCCTCCTCCTCCTCCTCCCTCCTACTCCGCCATCTCTTCCTCCTCCTCCTCCTCTCCTCCTCCTCCTCTCCTCCTCCTCCTCCTCCCCATCCTCCTCCTCCTTCTCCTCCTCGCCTTTTTCCTCCTCCTCCTCCTCCTCCTCCTCCTCCTCTTCCTTTGTCCTCCTCCTCCTCCTCCCCCTCCTCTTCCTTTTCCTCCGCCTCCTCTCTCCTCCTGCTTCTCCCTCCTCCTCCTCCTCCCTCCTCCTCCTCCTCCTCCTCCTCCTCCTCGGTTCGGCGTGGCATGTGTGCATGCTGTGCGGTGGCACGGCTTCGGGCTCGAGTAAATGCGTGGTTGTCTTTTTCCCGGAAAGGGCGTCGGCCCAGGGTTCTCTTTTAGTAGGTTTACTCCCGGTTTTGACGGCTGTAGGGCCGGCGAATTTCTTTTGCGATAAATAACGAGGTCGCGAAGGGCCGGCGAATTAAGATTTGAGGATGTCTCGAGCGAAACGCTTGTGTGTCAGAATTGGTTGAGGATGTCTCGAGCGAAACGCTTGTTTTGTGTTATAGATTGTCCTCTCCTGGGGACCTGAATTCTGAGGATCTCTCAAGTGGATTGCTTGTTTTCACGTGCCCAGGTTTTGAGGATGTCTCGAGCGAGACGCTTGGTTTCACGCCTCCAGGTGGCCCAGACAGATGTCTAGCATGAGGATTTGTTGAGGATGTCTCGAACCAGAGGCTTGTTTTCACGTGTCCAGGTCGCCCAGGCGGATGTCTAGCATGAGCATGTGTTTGAGGATGTCTCGAGCGAGACGCTTGTTTGCACATGTCCAGGTTGCAGGCGGATGTCTAGCATGAGGATGTGCTGACAACGTCTTGAGCGAAACGCTTGTTTTCACGTGTCCAGGTCGCCCAGGCACAGCACAGCCCTCGGCACGGTACATCAATATCGATACCCTTAGCATTGCAGCTTGGCATGTTGCCTGGCACGTTCCGCGGAGCATCCCGTGGCGAGTCCCCCTGGCACGTCGCGCGGTGCACGTCCATTGGCACGTTCCGTAGCGCGTCCCCTTGGCACGTCCCGCGGTGCGTGCCCATGGCACGTCCCCTGGCACGTCGCCTGGCGCGTCCCTTGGGACGTTCCGCGGAGCGTCCTCTTGGCATGTTCTCTCTGTCGATTAGTTCTGGGGCAGCTACCATCTGCTCAGGCAGCTCGAACTTACGATCCAGATCAGTTCGGTGAGGACTCGGATGCCAGGGAGGACTCGATCCATAACGCTATATAGAGCACAGTCGCGGCATGGCACATCGCAGTTCAGCACGGCCCAGCACAGCACAGCCGTCGGCACGGTACATCAAGATTGATACACTCAACTATGCACCTTGGCACGTTCCTTGGCGCGTTCCGTGGCGAGTCCACCTGGCACGTCGCGCGGCGCGTCCCCTGGCACGTCCCTCGGCACGTCCATTGGCACGTTCCGTAGCGCGTCCCCTTGGCACGTCCCGCGGTGCGTGCCCCATGGCACGTCCCCTGGCACGTCGCCTGGCGCGTCCCTTGGAACGTTCCGCGGCGCGTCCTCCTGGCATGTTCCCTCTGTCGATTAGTTCTGGGGCAGCTACCATCTGCTGAGGCAGCTCGAGCTTACGCTCCAGATCAGTTCGGTGAGGTCTCGGATGCCAGGGAGGACTCGATCCATAACGCTATATAGAGCACAGTCGCGGCATGGCACATCGCAGTTCAGCACGGCGTAGCACAGCACAGCCCTCGGCACAGTACATCATCATCGATACATTCAGCATTGCATGTGCCCGTCGCCCAATCAGGTGTCTTTGAAATGCTGCAACGCCTTACATTTCTATATTCCTTTCCGGGTTCGTGGGTCGAGCATGTTCGGCGACATCGTAAGGCTAAACTATTGTCATGAACAGGGACGTCCGTGACAGAGACGGGAGGCCATCGGGCCCCAGGCCAGAGTTTGGGGCAGTCCGCCCCTGCGTACCACAAGGCGTCCTCCCTGGACGTGCGGCATCGCGAACACCACGCCCTGGCGCCCAGGAGCACACCCTCCCCGCGCCGCTCCTCGAAGCCGGGCCGGCCCGCGATGGCCCCCGGGGCCCGCAGGTGAGCGAAGACGCCCGGCGTGGTGAGAATGGCAGCGCCCGGCTGCGCCACATGTCGGAAGCTGGAGCATCTACTCCAGATTTCGTAATAAAGGGAGGGGGGTCTCATTTCGGCGGGGGGGTCTCTTCCAGGCTATCTTGGAGGGCCTGGGGGGTCTGGGGACGATGTTTTGGAGGGTTCTCCCACGGGGGAGGTCTGAAATGGCTTGTCTTGGAGGGTCCAGGCCCCCTCCCTTTTATTACGAAATCTGGAGTACATCTTGACGAACCGACAACACACACCCATACCCGTATGGGGGATCGGAGAGGGCTATGGGGGCGTGCTGTCGGATGGGGGCCCCCGCTCGAACGGGAGCGTTCCCCACGGCCCGACAACCCGCACCCATACCCACAGCCAGTCCTCCTCCCAACGACCTCCCTATGGGTATGGGTGTGTGTTGTTCGTTCGTCACATCTCCAGTGGCGGGCTGTTCTTGTCAATCCCAGGAATTTCTGAGGGTCGGGGACGACGCTGGGGTGGTGTGGTGTATACTTTTTTCCCCGATGTCCCGGGGAAACAACGAAAAATGTATACACCAGGGTTCCGTATACACCAGGATCCGCTCGCCAGTGCAGATTTCAATGCAGGGCCGGAAAAAGCGTCGGTGTATGGAGTTCGATTCCCTAACATTGTATCCGCAGCGTGGCTGCTTTCTCTTTCAGGCTACTCTTCACAAGCTGAGTTTGCCGATTGCAGGTCGGCCATCGTGGCGCTCCCTGTCTGCTCGGCGCACCCTTTCTGTCGCTCTGTGCTGCCTGCCGCGAAGTGGGGCATGTTGCGGCCGCCTCCTCCATCCTTCAGGAGGGGAAAAAGCGCACAGACACAATGAATCGTCGATTCCCCAGAAGAAATGGGAAAATATGGGAAGTGGGGGAAAGACAGAAACCCATAAAATATGGTAAACTATGGGGACTCAAGTCATTTGTGTCTGTTTGTTTGTGTGTCCCAGTTCCCCTTCAAAAATGGCAACGCCCGGATTCCTGGGATCGCAACCTCGGCGGGAGGGGGCTCCTTGTGAGAGCACGACCCCGGCGGGCAGCAGAGCCTCGCCCGCTCGCGCTCGCCAGCGCCTGAGGGCCAGTGACTAGGCTCGCGGCCCCTGCGCTCAGAGGGGTGGGAGACAGCTCCTCCTCCTCCTCCTCCTCCTCCTCCTCCTCCTCCTCCCCGTTTTTCTCCCTCCTCCTC